TTACTGCTGGTAAATTTCTTTTACAGGACTTTGCCAATTTTGTTAAAGTATTTGGGAGGATTCAGCTTCACCTTGCTATCTTTACCTAGGGTCTAAAGTTTCTTAATGATTTTTATAATTCTGTTCCTTTATTTTACTCTGAATCGTTCTGTTTCTTACTGTCTATTTTCATTACATAGCTTTTTTGAGGTAATGAGATAAAGTGGATGTCAACAAGGATACTCGGTTTCCTTTTTTAACCAGAACATTAATGGCACTGGCTTTTGTTCGTTGTAGGACCTGTACATCGACCGCCCCTTGCCCTACCTCATTGGCTCCAAGCTGTTCATGGAGCAGGAAGATGTAGGACTTGGAGAACTCTCTAGTGAAGGTGCTTGTCTTAGTTACTTTTTGGTCATTTGGGCAAATAACTGACACCCATCACTGTGAGGAGGAAAGGTTTATCTTGGCTTAGGGTTTGTAGAGATTTCAGTCTATAGTTGGCTGGCTTCAAGGTATGACAGCATGGTAGAGGGGGATGGCAGAGGAGGATTGCCATAACATGTCATCAGGAAGTGGAGGGCAATAAAGGGAGGAGGGAGAAGAAGAAGATAGGCCCCTCCAGACCCTGCCCACAGTGATCCACCTTCCCCCATCGTCACATTTATAGCTGTAAACTCACCAATCTGCCTGTCCTCTGGTCAGTATCATGCACCTGTGACCCAGTCACCTCCCAAAGCCCTACCCATGAGTGCGTGAGGCTTTGAGGAGACATCTAGATTAATAATTATAATGGTGGGCCAGCGAGATAGCTCAGTAGACTAAGCACCTGCTTAGGCAAGCTCAGGGACTGGGGTTCAATCCCTGCCATGCCATGCTGGCCCCACCCCTGGGCGCTCTGAGCTAGCCAGCAAGACTGGGGATGATGGCACATGTTTGTAGTCCCAGTGCTGGAGAGGCTGAGAATGGGGGTATCACTGTGAGTCTGAGCTGCGAAGTGAGACCCTGTACAAAAAAAAATGTAGCAGTGCTTATCTTCGACATATAGTCTTGTTACTTTTAAGATTTAAAAAGTAGTTTCAAACTTTATATTAACATTGCAGAAATAGTCCAGAGAACTCACATATACTCTTCACCCAGGTTTGCCACTTAACATTTCATCACGTATGTTTTGTCATAGTCTCTTTGTGTACATAGTTTGTGGGGGTTTTTTGTTTGTTTTGTTTTTTCAGAACTATTGGACACAGGGCTGGAGAGATGGCTCAGTAGAATATGCACTTCCCTAGCAAGCGCAAGGGCCTGAGTTCAATCCCTGGTTCCGCCAAAACAAAAACTATTTGGAGCCGCATGACTCAGAACTCCTAAGTAGTTCTCTGTATTTTCTAGGAACAAGGGTATTCTCTTATATATAGCCAGAATATAGTGATCCAAACCAGAAAATTTTGCTGGATGTCATAGCATAATGGTGTTCACTTATCTCCAGTGGTCCTCATGATGCCCTTTCTTGTCTCTTCTTCATCTGGTCCAAGACTCAGTCCAATTCTCAGATGTCTCTGTCATCTTTTAGTTGACACAATGTCTCAGTCTTCCTTCCTTTACGTGACCTTGACATCTTTGAAGAGTACAATAAGGGCCTGAGGTCAATCCCCAGTTCTGCAAAAAAAAAAAAAAAAAAAAAGAGTACAAGGCAGATTTTTTTTGTAATCCTTTGTAATACATAACTTTAATGCTATGGAAGGCTGTACTGCTGTATGTGTATCTGCTCCCTCACTGTAATGGTGTTTTAAATTTCCATAACTAGACACATACAGTTTTATCAGAGTCTGTGCTCCTGTTGTGTGACTTAGAAGGAACTCAGAATGTTTTCTGGTGGATGTATGTGCTCACCCTTGTCCTCTTCTCACAGAAGGCTCCGTGGGCAGTGGTCGGGGCAGCATTGTGGACAGTGAGGAAGAGAAGGAGGAAGAGGTAAGGACTTTCTTCTGACCAAGTAATGGTGAGGGTGAGCAGGAAGCTTAAGTGTTCAGCAGGTAAAGTCCATATTTGTGAGTTAGCTATCTGGTTTTATAAAACTTTTAACAGAATGATGGAAGCCACAAGCTGAAGCTAGATTTCCTCTTCGTTCTATATACAGAAACAACAAAAATTAATCCAATGTCCTTAAGGGTTAGCGTCCTTTAATTTCTCCA